TGGTCTAGAAACACTCTTTCAAAGTATGATGGATTGATACAGAGTCTCGCTATGGAGAGTCAAAGAGAGGGAAGTCGAGAAAATGAGAATCGCTAAAACGGGCTTTTTTGAATATCGCTAAAATTCACCCCATCTTTGGGGGTCGATATCTCGCGAACGGGGCGTCGGATGGGAAAACCCTTCAAATTAGTTTCTTATAATGATGTAAAGACCCCGTATACCAATTTTCAGCCAAATCGGAGGGGGTCGGGTTCCGAGCCTGGCACAGTTGACGTGGAATGGCCCATACTAATGCTAATGGCAAGAGGACTTTGTGAACTTACCAGATAAACACGATAGAAGAAGTATCAGTATATGATGTATCATGATTAAGATCTTGCTGGGTGTAGAACTTTACTGAACTATCCTCTCCGGACTTGAATAGTCTTGACCAAGGGAAGTCGTAGTCAAAATCGTGCTCTATCATCTAGATGCTTCAGCCGAGCTTTATATTTTTTCCACTAGAACGTGAACAGCTTCCCATGTACAAAATTGAAAATTCCATTCCTTTGTCCAATGTCTATGATGTGTTTGCGGTGGTGTCCTCTGTAAAAAATCGTTAACACGTTTTAACATCAAACGTACTCTGCGTGAAACGGGTATGGTTTACAGGGGTTGCGATCAACAGAATTTTCCCATGCCTTTCGTGAGCTAAATAATATTTGACGTATGTGTGACCGTGTGCGGAAGAACTGGAATTTGACTCTACTAACTCAAAATTTAATTCGAAGTTTAAATTTTTTTTTCTTCTTCTTTTTTCTACAAAAATTCTAATCTGACATGTTTTCTGCAAAACATTGCCAAAATCAATTGTATTCCTCTATACATATAAAGTCGCTCTCGCACTCTGGCGTTCTACGACACCCAAACGCCACATACGCCAGTCTTCCCAGAGGTTATCGGGCAACTGACACCGCAACATCTCTTCAGAAACGCCCTGCCGCCAACCCTTTACGGGACGTCCCCGTCGCCTCTTCCCATAGGTGGTGCCCAATCCAAAACTTGTTTGGGCAACCTCTCCTCCGACATTCTTTGCACATGATACCGAGGCATATGTTTTTTTGGGGGAGGTTTTTTGACATTGTACATTTTTTCCGAGGATCGGGGAGTCAGCCCGATCGGCCCCAACCCCCATCCTGGAGGACCGGGGTTTAATTTCGGAGTTACCTCTCCTAGACAGGTTGCTTTCACCACAGCTAAGAGCCTTGTCTACCCACCCCCTTTGAGGTAGGGGCTACCGGCTGGGGTGGGGGGGGGTCCGTAGGATTGTTAAACCCGTGACAGTACAGTCCCCCATACGATCCCCATCCTTCTATTGGCCCATGTATCCCTCTATTGACACAAAATATAATGGGTATGCTAGTATGTTCCCTGGAACATTTCCGATCGCTGATCCTCGCACATCCTTCAATTTTGAAAAATGTCCGTGAAGTTTTCCCTAAAACTTATGTGGATTCGTGACTATTTAAAGGGCCTCGACCAATACTTGGATTTGCCCTCAGAATGATTTTGTTTGAGTTGGAGCAGGTCCTGCAGCATATGTAATGGCACCAAGGCCAAATTAGAGCTCAGGAGCCTGGGGTGCTGGGCATTAGGGGCCCTAAATCATAGAATTTAAGGGCCATATGACACCCAAAATTCCAGTTTCAGGGCCGCTTTCAATCCGTTTTTTAGACTTCAAATACCCCTGGGATCTAGAGCACATAAAAAGCGACCGGGAGAGGGGGCGGGGGGGATGGTGGTGCTGTAGCACACCGGCCAATCTGGCCCTGAATGGCACTGCTATTATTAATCTGTGTCCAAGTTGGTGTACCAATATACGCAGGTGAGAGCGGTAGAAAGAAGATGAGAACGTAGAATAGAGTAGAAGAAGAATAGAGAGGAAAATAAGAAAAAGGAGAAGAAAAAGGGGTGGAAAACGAAGAAGAGAAGAAAAAAGAGGGATATAAAGCACCCGTCTGCGTAAAAACATTAAGAGCACATAATGATTTCTAAAATGAGCTTGTGGCTTCTAAGGGGCCATCCATAAATTACGTAAGGCGCTTTTCCCCCATTTTTAGATCCCTCTCCCCCCTCGTAAGGCACCCCTTACCCCCTTCTAATAATTTCGTGATGCTCGACTGACCTCCCCCCCCTTTCAATTATCGCATATCTAAGCATTACCTTTTCTTTTAGAAAAATAATGAAATTTTTAGGTCAAAATTGGTATTAGCGAAACTAAATTTTTGAAGTATAAGTCCATAGGAAATATTAATGATGCAATCAGCTTAATAAACTAAAATACGTAGAGCAAAATTGAAGATTTTTTTATCTTTTGAAGTTGACATAAGAATAAAGTCACTACTGATCACCCCACGGAGTGGAAAAAAGGGAATCAAGAGAAATGACAGGAGCCTAGTCCGATCGGTCAGCAATCGATGATGTGCTGATTTCTTCTATTTTATCTTGAATTTTATTATCAACCGACGAAAAATGGATTTTGCATTTCCTCCAAATATAGGTTGGAGAGCTTACGTAAGGCTCAGCCCCCTCCCTCCCTTCCCTCTCCCTCGTAAGGCACTGTATAAGGCTGTTAGAGACCCCACTCCCCGCGCCCCCAAGAGCTTTACGTAATTTATGAACGGCCCCATAGAGAATTTGCAGGTGTCTAAAATTTTGTAAATTTCATGTTTAAGAAGGAATTACCGAGTGAACTGATCATGTATGTGACTATCGTTGGTTTCTAAAATGAACAATTAAAGAGATTATGACTAAATTACCTAATCTGCTAAAATACATGTGTTTAAAGGGGCAATGCCGCCTAACGACGCCACAAGGCCGAATATTTTCTTTTTTAAATCCATTTTTCTGCAATTGCCCATATGGGAAAAAAATCATGAAAAATATTGCGAGCGCAACTGCTCATCAAGCACTCACAGATGGAGCGATAAAATCTGTTGGTGCTTTTCCATTGCAAAATGGTGTCCAATTGGCCTTCTTTTAAGCGCTCATCCGATAGGCAGCGCTTTTTGATTTCGACTTGCCTCTAGAGTGCTAGTATACTAGTGCTAATTCATTTAAATGGCGCACCAGCTCATCGATGTGTAGGCTTTTTTTGGGGGGGGGGGGGGTCCAATTTTGAAATAAATAAAGCTGTGAAAACTGTATTTTATGCTTTTAACGTAATGCGCAGGTAGTTTCGATCGTTTGTCTATAAGAAAATTTCTTAGCGGTAGAGTAACTCTTATCGAAATTGATCGTTGAACTTAAATGAAGCCTAAAAAAAACGCGCCTGATGAGCTCAACGGTGGCTATCATTTTCGGGAAACGAAAAAACGCGTTTACGGTTTCCTTGGTAACCTTTGTTTGCTATCAGCTGATGCTTTATTTCCATTTCCCAGCCAAGTCGACGGAGTTCATACTTCCTTTCTCCACTAAATACATTTACTAACACCTGAGCGCTTTTCTAATACGACAGTATTAGAACTTTCCCGCTTGTTTTTCATTTTGTTTGTTCCTATTTTCGTTAAATTTGATCATTGGACGAAAGCTCGATGAAAACACTACCATGGGTCGCGCTCTTGACTGCTCAGCCGTATAATAATAAGATCTCAGCCTGATGAGTGACGATTCACCTAGTGAGGTCTCAGCTTGATGCTTGAGGATCTTGACGCGTCTGGGCCTCTATGCTCCTACGCTGGACCAAGGTCGACCAGCTCCATAGCAAGATTTGCACGGTCTTAGGAGTTATCGGCCGCTCAAAGTAGCAAGCAAGTGTCAGTTCGCCGACTTCATAAACTTGTTACAACTCATATGCAAGCAAAATGAAAACTGTATGGTCGCTGGTGATGGAAGCGAAAATATATTGCAAATTCTATACTTAGGCCATAAAAAAGTGTCCTTTATTTAAAGTTTTGGAGTGTAAATGGGTTCTCTATTCATTAAATGGTTTTTTTTTTAAAAAAAAAATATCTCTCGCTCAGCGAATTGTTTGAGTGTATAGTTTTTTTCAGAGAAATTGCATTACTCATCCGGTTTGCGTGATTTTATTGACCAGCTCGCAATTTATTCTAACTGAATAATAGAAATATGGTTTTCGCATCGAGAGCTCAGAATCTGAATAAGTTTTACTACGATCCCATCTCCCGTGGGTGATCACGCATACGCCCGAGTTAGAGAAATGAGGATTTGAGGAGGAGAAGTTTTATCTTTGAAGCATTATTTCATTGCGAAAAAGATTCTGCGTTGCTGATTGTCTCCAAGGTTTTAATAAAATACGTTAATTTACATTATGATCAGATCATTTTCAGCTCCATAAATGGCTCACTTAAATTTTATAAATTACTTTGCTGAAAGCTGCTTTCTTTTAGGTAAAAATCGCAGACTTCTAAAACTCCGGTTCGGTTTGACATTCTAGTGTACCTACGTTCAGGGTCGGATTCATATTCTTAGCGCCCTATATTGTGCCCAATGCTGGATTTCGGTTGGGAGTCTAACGCGGGGCGCTCCCTTGGGAGGGGGGTGTTGTCCCCAGGGCAGGATGTCAGGTATCGGGTGAAATGTTTCAAATCGCCTTTAATAATAAGAAGACTATTTGAGAGACCATTGCTGACTTTGGGCAGTGGCCCGCGTCAGTAGCACTTGGACCAAAAGTGCTTCCTCTTCGTAGTAGAGAGAGAGAAAACAAGTCTGGAGGTGTTAAATCAGGTTGGTTTCCCTGACATTCTCAGAGATACGGGCCTTGACCTCAGAGCGTTGCATGAATGCCACTTTTGAAGATGAAGCTAAACCCTTGATTTCCTATATGGGCCACTGAATCATGCAGGAGTCAAGTTGATAAGTGTGTCCGACCGATCGATCAATGGAATAACGATGAAAACAGGTGATTAATCACAAAGAGACGTGAAAAAACACATACAAACACGAACCTTTATTGACACTGAGTAAAGAGTATCCTGAACTTTTCTTCGAGCGGATTTCAACAACTATCACTGATCTAATTATCCGAATAACGAAATGTTGGGTGCGTCACGCGAGAAATCGCGAACTTCGGGACCGTGTTTAAGTTCCTCGAGAGGCGGGCACTAACTGTCGCGTGGGCCCAAGAGTCACGCACACCGCGAAGATGCGGAGACGGAAGGGCACAAGGCGGAGCATAACTTCTCTGGCCGATCGCCGCGCCGGGACATTCCGTCTCATATCCCGATCATTTTGACCAATGGGGGCCCGTGGATCTTGGGGTAAAAATATTGCTCCGGTATCTCTGGCACGGTATATAACTATTCAAACAAAAATATATTACTGTTATTTTAAACAAAACAACAGAGCCTAGAAAAGGGCCCACTCCCTCAACGAGTTCAAGCTTTCCGTGCACCCGGAAGCACGTGAAGGAACTCAACCGATTGACATTTCAACGGGTATTGACAGGATTTTACGAGAACCTACACTTTTCAAATCAAAATGATAGCTTTAGTCGACGAGTTACTGAACCATAAACAATTTTGACTTGCGAATACATTTTTCTTGAGTGTCGTGTAGCTGACACGATGCGCACATTAAAAACGCGAAAAAGTAACTAAAAAACCGTGAAATACGCAGTTCAAAAAGTGCGACTTTATCCCATACTTAAAACGTTCCTGTTAATGGTGTTATCTGGTACCGAACAGAAGCGAGCCTGGGTTTTTTTTACTTCCGTCAAATGTCTTTACACTCCTCGTAGATAAAAACGAATAGGAACTTCATAGGAATTTGACTTCAAAAATACGCGGTAAATTACCACATAACCTATACTCATGCACTTTCAGAATATATTAAACTAGGGGCCTGTGGCCGCCAACCACTGGAAAAGAAACTACACGTAAAAGATAGTAGAACATCCATGTTCAAGTTATTTCAGAGATGAATGGATTCAAAAGTCGACGGGTGGACGCGAATTAACGCGTACTTATCTCTGATTGCAACGTCATGCACAACTTTTTATGTACTATTCTTGATCACTGTTTTTAAAAAGCTACACACAATTTTTCTGAAGAGTTCCCTTGCAGTTTCCTAAATGATCTCGAATATAAGCGTCGAAAATTTCGACGTGATATTTTCGTTTTTTATTACACCAAAATTAATTTTACTTTAATCAAGTTTCAGCATCCCTGCATCGTTTGAACATCGTCCGAGTTCCTGAATCGTTGCTATTAAGATACATATTTACCCTTCAATTGTGGTAAAAACATCTAGCAGAGGCCGTCAAAAGAAAGACGCGTGGTCCTAGTTTTGCGGCGATTTAAGCGTTGCGCAAGAAAAGGAAGGTAGTGCGGTTGAGTGTCGAGTCATCTTCATAGTGTGATGCTCCTTTAATCCAGCTAGTGGCAATGTGCCTGTACCGGTAGTTGAATAGTTATCGCAGATAACTCTTGCATTGCGTTTGGTGCAATGCGAGAAGTATTCATGCAGTCTTGTAGGCGCTAACATGCGCTCGACGCCGACCGCACTGTTTGGCGCAGTGCGCGAAGTATTCCAGCAGTCTTGCAGGCGCTGATATGAGTTTGACGCCTACCGCACCGTGTTCGGCGCTTCGAACTCGCGATAGGATAATCGCGGCATCGGACGATGGGGCTTAAAAGACCCATGTCGTGTTTCGACGCCGTATGAGCATTCCAACGTTGCCTCGTTTCTCCCGATAAAATTTTTCTGAGAAAAGTTAGGAAAGTGCTGAATGTTCGCTTTTTTATGTTGAATGGACCATTAGACAAGGTACGAATTTAAGCAATCTGATACATGATTCTTCGCCAAAATTTCACGCAAAATATGATTTGCGCAACAAGAATTACCGAAATCAACTTCTAGCTAAGATATTAACGTTTTTATTGTCCATTGGTTACGGGAACTTTGAATTGCCCGGTCACAAGAAAAACAAAACCCCAACGCGAGTCAAATTGCGCACTGCAACGGCTTTAGCAAACTACTCAGCGAGCATTTTTTCTTTCCTAGACTGTGTTGTTTAAAAGTGTGTACAGCTTGAGTTCAGCGTCAATATTGATGTTGCCATATTTCCATATTACTGAGACTATCATAGTGACGTTTGGCGTGCAATTTAACCCGAGTGAATTATTCCTCCTTCAATGAGCGGAAAGGTTGAATTCATTCATGAAAAATGTTAATACCACGGTTAGGAATAAATCTCGGGTCAGGATTACGATCCCTGGAGTTCGACGTCCAGTGATCGATATCCTCGTTGCTTATTGGTGTTCACACCGTGAGCCTGCAATCCTGGGATCGATGAATTGTGGAAATTTTCCTGCTTTTTGTTTACTCATTTTTTTCAATTTTTTCAATGAAAAAGTAGCTAACTTTATAGCTTGAAATATGTATAGAATATATTATGCCAAAGGAGAAGAAAAATTAAGATAGTTTTAAGTACATTACTTTGAGTATGGCAGGGACTCCGCTTCTGCAACGTCGCAAAAGGAGATTCGTGGCTTCGCACTTTGGTCATCGATTTGTTCACATCTCCTTCAAAAGTTGATCTCGGAAATTCCCGTTGCGTGAATTTACTTTATTTACGTAAAATTTTGAAGCACGCCTCCGTCGTAAATCCATCATCCACGGCAATTTCCACGACGACAAACGCTTCGGGCAGCCGAATTATCAGCTGACCGAAATAAAAAGCGCCCGGAAATAACGAAAAAAATCGCGCATCTCCCGATGGAACTAACGGGATAACCGATCTTTCAAAGGGTGCAAGAGGTGCGGGGTCCGCTGCGCGATCCCTCTATTTTTCCGGCCATCGGGGGACCGGGACGGTTAAGCCGGTGCCGGTACCACCCGCGCCCGGTTCGGCCCGGGTAAGTATCACTCTGCTCACACTTTCCGGCACTTATTCTAACTAATTCATCTTGGGTATGTTTTATAATACCTATGACTTCTTGCAGAATCATACAGAGGCACTCGAAGTATAAGAGGTATTGAATTTTATGAAGGAGCTAAAGAGATAGAAGAAGAAAACGAAGAAACGGGGAGAGAAGAAACGAGAGAGGAGAAAGAGAAAGACAAAGAAAAATAAAAGCGGAAAAAGAAGAAGATGGGAGAAAGCAGATGAAGAAAAAAAACGAAGAACAAATGAGAAAGAGGTGTAAATATCTAGTGGTATCATCGTGAAAATACCTTTACTCGGAGCAAATACAAGAATTCCATTTTCATCGAACGGGGAAATGATACAGTAACACCATACCAATCTGTTCGCCTTCAATATTTAGGACAGGCAACCCGAGTTGCCACCCGGTCGAAGAGTGGGTATCGCTGTGAAAAATGAGATGCTCACCCGGCATAGCATACACACAATCACAAATACTGAACAGCAAGCTTTTTACCACGGGTGGGTCGCAAGAGTACCAGCGGGCCGATTATTGAAATGTGTAGACAGAGCTATAGACAAAGAAGACATAAGGAGTATAGAGGATTCCTGTTGGTTGAAATGGGTGGTTCTTATAGACTAAGAGGGTAAATGATGGACTCACTATCGGGTCTCTTGTGGGTTGCCGTTAGTTAGTCTATTACCTACGTCCTTTGTCCGTTGCAACCACCCGCTTCCACCAATAGGATCCCTCCGTATCCTTTTTGTCTTCTTTGTCTATTGCTTTGTCCATGAATGTCAATAATCGACCCGCTGATCGACAAGAATCGATGGAAACGTAGTAAACGTGAGCCGATCAACATTGGTACCATCGGGCTAGCATAAGTTAAAACATGGTTAAAACAATTAGGATTAATACATTATTGTATTTAATAAATTAGAAAAAAAAATCGTGAAACATTGATAGAAAAAAGGTTCGTTTTTACTTTTCGATCGAAACAATCCCAGTCAATTTCCCCGGTATTTAAGAGAAATACTAAATTAATGAAGTCATTAGCAAGTCGATGGTGAAAGTGCAGAAGTGCGTATCTCGATTTTTGACAGTTTTGAGTTAGCTGCATAAACGTGTTGTTGAAGATGTCGTTTATCTGCCAGCAAGAGATTATGTTCGAAAAGAATCGGGAAGTCACTTAAAACCGTGGAACTTTTTTCGAGTATCTCGGGCTTAGGTGCAGAGATGCGTGTCTCGTTCTGGCCCCTTCATTTGACCCGGCGCGTCTTACGCACAACGCGCTCTCTTCAGCGTTGCCCGCTAACAGCATACATCAGCTGATCAGCTCTGTGTTTTTATTGATTTTTAGGAATTCGCTGATTTTGAAAAGTTGCTAAATGCTAATTACTCTAGGGCGCTCCAGTATCATTTCTTCATAAGGTACCTATTACTAGCGGCGTGAGGCGTTCATGTATGGGGCAACACTATCATACGAGCTGACGGTTCATCACAACTATCAGTTGTATTAGAGTCAATCGAGTCATACAATGCTTCATCTACCGTATTGGATCGACTAAAGCTCCTCAACAAATTTTAAGTATAAATAAACTCTACAGTTGATCTTAATGATCAAGAGCAAGTTCAAAACGCTAATTGCAGAAATGCGTATCTCGTGATCAAATGTCATTTTCCAATCATACAATGCTTGATCCGCCTGTATGAGATCAAACTAAAGCTTCTGATAAGAAAATGTACTGCGTGAAACTCTTTTTTAAGTCTGTAAATTATCAAAATCCGCCAACGATAGGTTTAAAACACGAATTGCAAAAATGCGTATCTCGTGATAAAGTGTTACCTAATGCTTAGTGCCGAAAACGCAAATCTCGGCATTTCTGCCGTATTTTCTAACAGTTCGAGAAATTATTCAAAATGCTGATGGGGTCTGAAAAAGCATACCATTTCTTGCTATTCTCCTTATCCTCGAGCATTATTACCCTTCTACTGACAATAAGGAGGAATGTAGACAGTTTTTCTTTACTCTTCTGGAAAATCGTGCTTTCCGAGATACGCACTTCTGCACCGCCTTCACCATCGAAGTATAAAAATAGCCGCTCGTGTTGCCATCACGGCAATTGAAGGCAAACTTGAGAGCAATGAGAATCACTTTATAGCGAGAGTGTGAGGGATTATCGTTTAATCATACCTATGTTCCTTTCCGGGACGGGACAGAGCAAATGTGACAAATCTACCCTGGTAAAAATTGTCAGTAGAATCTGTGTTCCAAAATACCATAGACCTAAAGCCGGCTGTAAGATTTCCAATCGCTTCTATAGCCGCCTGTACAATTTCTTTTGGCCTTTTATAGCCGATGGCGATTAAGCAACAGCCAGACGATATAGTTTATACTAAACGTTACTAAATACGGATACCAGGACTTATTAGTTATTTTTTGGACTACCGCTCTCTTTTTGTGCCGTAGTATCTTGATTTATTTTGCGAGGAAAGCTCCGTACTCTTGAAGGATGCCTGTCATTCTTAATATGTTGGAGCGCTTTCAATTTCTTATGATACTGTGCAATACCTCTGGTGTGAGATAGTTGCTTCAGACGCCGTGGCATGCTGCGGCGCGGCGGGCGGGCAGAGAGCGCATTGCGCGATGTGTGAAGTATCCCTGTTAGGTTTGTAGGCGCCAGTGCGTCGCCGCTCCGCTCTGTGTTAGGCTCTAATATTTAATTTCGCGGAGTCAGCGTTTTTTAACTCATGATTTTGAAATGTTTGCACGCACTCTTAATGGATTATTCTCATTTTAATTGATGAAAAAAAATATGTTTTAAAGGAAAATATGATGTGTGTTTTGTAAATATTAAGGTAGTTCCGTATCAAACTTAATGATTCCCAAAGCACACGAATTTCTACACATTTTCTAATGGCCTTTTATAGCCAATGGCGATAAAGTGTAAAGCCCGGCGATAGAAAATTTAGCCCGACTGTATCCTTTTTTATAGCTTCGTATAGCCCGGCTAGATGATTTGCTCCGCTCTCTACAGCCATCTATATGATTTTCAATAGCCTTCTTTAGTCGGCTATAAGAACTCCTATGGTATTTTGAAACGCAGCTCCTATCGCCAATTCTTACCAGAGTACCGTGCGCTACTATTCAATCTCCTATGCCGCTCATATTGGTATCACGGTTATTGAAGGGAAACTGGACAGAGTGAGAAGCATGTACCTAGGTAGCATTAACGCACGCTCGTTGCCACTGTGTGTTACGCTTTTAAAAATTCTAAGCAATTTTCCAGCCGTTATACGAAAAGAATAAACTCACACAACGGAGATTTTGCATGTGTGAGGAATTTGCGATTTGACTGTTGATTCTTATATGTAAAAGTTCGCGAGAAACACGATGGCGCCAGTGGTTTTCTCTGAAATCAACTCTCAAGCTCAAAAAAGCTCTCAAGTTGAGGTCGAAATGGAGGGGATATCCCAGGCTATCCTGAGAGTCCACCTCTACACCAAGACAAACTCTCCATGCAAAGATAGGGAGCAAATACATTGACAGGGCTGCCACTTTACTTGGGGACTTTAAAACTAAAAACACGGCGGCCCTGTTAATGTAGTATTTGCTTCCTATTTACGCATGGAGAGTTTGTCTTGATGTAGGTAGAGGTGGACTCTTAGGATAGCGTGGGATATCCCCTCCATTTTGGCCTCAACTCGAGAGCTTTTTTTGAGCTTGGGTGTTATGATTTCAGAGAGAACCAGTGGCACCATCGTGTTTCTCACGAACTTTTACGTATAAGAATCAACAGTCAAATCGCAAATTCCTCACACATGCAACATCTCCATTTCAGGCCTCAATGCTAGGTACAGGCCCGCCACATCCCATCTCGGGCCCTGATACCAGTTTTAAGGTCCGGGCCCCAAGCACGGGGGGGGGGNGGGGGGGGGGGGGGGGGTCCGAGGGGCATCCCCCGAGAAATTTTAGAATTTATACGACTAATCGGACGCATTTTGAAGCTTTTGAAGATTTTATAGGAGGATTAAAAATAAACAAGTGGCACGGAATATAACAAAATAATATGAACTATGCAAAACAATAATCCGGGTATCGGAACTTGGCTGATTTGAAAACGCCTTCAAATGCGGCGTGATACCTCACGCATTCCAGAGAGTTCAAATAATTGTATCATTGCGCCTTAGAAATGCGACGGAAGATTACAATTGAAATAGCCTTCATGCACGCTGGCCTTTTCGATTTCCGTTAACATTTTTGCAGTCAGGAATGCGCTTAAGTGCGCTTCAGCTAGAATTGTACTTAGCAAATGGGTGGTTTTTATAGGAGGATTATAATTAAACAAGTGGTTAGAAATGGAAACAAAATAATATGAACTATGCAAAACGATTATTCAGATATCGGAACTTGGCTGTTTTGAAAACGCCTTCAAATGCGGCGTGATACCTCACGCATTCCGGAGAGTTCAAATAGTTGTATCATTGCGCCGTAGGAATGTGACGGAAGATTTAAATGGAGATAGCTTCCATGCTTGCTCGGCTTGTCGATTTCCTTTGACATTTTTGCAGTGGTGAATGCATAGCTGAAGTGCGCTCCAGCTAGAATTGTATTTACAAATGTGTGGTTTTTCTACGAGGATTAAAAATAAACGAGTGGTACGGAATATAACAAAAGAATATGAACTATGCAGAACGATACTCCGGGTATCGGAACTAAGCTGTTTTGAAAACGCCTTCAAATGCGGCGTGATACCTCACACATTCCGGAGAGTTCAAATAGTTGTATCATTGCGCCGTAAGAATGTGACGGAAGATTTAATTAAATGGAAATAGCCTTCATGCTAGGTATTCGTTTTCCGTTTGAACGTAAAACATGAGAGGAAATTGGGCAATTCCTCATTTAGCTAGGCTTATTCTGGATCCATCCGAATACCACACTTACCTACTGTGTTACAGACCTAACCTAATCTTTTCCTATAGGTATACCTACACTGCTTAGACAATATAAGCTGCCTGATAGCAATAATAATGGTTGATTCCAGGTTTTGCGCATGTCTTAAGATGTGCTTGCACTGAGTTTGCCATTCACAGCAGATTCACAGTACCGAAAGCATGACTGTCCTTATGGGGATCTGCGCTCAATCTAACCAGACTGTTTAGGCAATTACATGATATTCAGAAAGAGCAACATTTGCCTGAATTATTTTAGACACGTTAGCACGTGACTGGATCCCGGGATCCATGAATAGTCACCGCAAAAAAATTATCCGTAACTTTCCGTATAATTATTCGTAACTTTGAAGGCAAATCTAACAACTTTCTATGAAACAAGAGAGATACTGGGACTACGTATTGCGGGGGTACTTGGAACATCTGATATTAATATCAGGGTATTAAGCAAGATCAGCAAATATGTGTGATCAATTAGTGGTTTTTTGGTTTATAAAATTTCTCAGGGATCTACAGTGAAAGAGGACCACGCCTTTTCTGATCAGATTGCATGAAAAGTTGCACCTTACAGTAGGTAGCTGTGCGTCAATCATGACTTTCCAATGTAAAATGAAAAATTTAAGATTCGATATGGTGTGATGAAAAGGCTGATCGAAAGTACCACAGGTACTGAATTTTGTTTTTATTTCAATTTTATTCTGCACAGTTAAGGTAGGTATGACCTGATCCAATGATGGTAGTCCAAATATATATGCTCAAAATATTTGCATCCATCAATACCTACTTGTAAGAGTAAAAAGACTGCTTCCTCAGGAAAATAAACCATATTACAATACATCTCCCATGTAAAAAAGTACCTATGATACAAAGTTGGTATATTTTTACAGTAAGGTGATACTTTTACTGCCTCTGCATCTTGTAGTTGAAAACTAGGTCATAAAACACTTAAAGCACTGTTTGAGAGAAATTTCATAAGAATTTGATTGCTTTAACCGGAATCAGGCTAACTACAACAGAAGTGCCTAATTTTCTCTGTTGTTTCATGTCCAAGTGAACATCAGAGAGCTAAGCATCACTAAAACTTGACATTTTATGAGAATACTCTCAAAAATCTATGGTCAATTCACAGAGAGTTTAGAGGCTTCAAATGGTTTAGTTGTCTGTTAAGGAAATAACACACTTTAGATTGATAGTTGGGTAACCAAAAATGCAATAGGAGTGATTTCAGTGAAATCAATAAGGTTCATATATGGCTCTATATGCATCCCAAAAAAGTATGGTGCATATCTGGTCAAAAATGCTTTCTAATTGAAAGACACAAGAATAAACTTTTTCCAATTTTAATATTGCCGATTAAAAAAAAAAAAACTCCATTCAAGGAGCTATAGAATACTGTAGTAAGATAAAAGCCAATAAACTTGATCAGATAGGAAATTGGTGCCTGCAAGAGGAATTTAAGAGGGAATACCTTTCTGCAATAGTTTCTAGATGTTTTATTGGGCTGTTTCACAACAATCTATCTCTCTAATTTTTTGCTACTAGAACTAGAAGTTTTTTTAATAATTAATGAGGTATCAAGAAAAGTCTCTTTGAATGATGGGGGTAGAAAATTAAAATAATAATTTTTACACATTTCTTTTCATTCTTTTCTAAGAAAACAAACACATTTTATTGAAAATGAAAACTTGAAAATTATGACTAAAACAAATTTTTTTAAATATATTTATAAATAACTTCTGACTTATCATTTATCGTTTGTAACTCTAATTTTACAGGACACTGAAGCCAATAGCTCAGTATTTCTTCAGAATAACCAATGAGAAAATACATTTTTGTTGGATTTATCATGCGAGAAATTATACCAGCAATACGAATGATATTATGCTGTCTTTTGATGATGACTTCAGAGGCAAACATGTTGTGCCAGGTTCCTGTAATGAATTGTCTGATGAATTGGTCCTCAGCAGCTGTCTCACCAGACCAGACCTGATCTCTATCACCACCCAAATTAGCTGTAAAAAAGGAGAACATTCCATTAACCTCTTCATCTAGATGCAATAAAGGGAGAAATGAAGCATTAAATGAAAGGTGCAAGCAAGCGTAATCTTTTTAATAAGATGGAGAAGATGACATAATTTGAATTGGTAATTTTGACTGTTGAGTAGTGCAGATGAGATTACACTGAAATATTACAAAAATTAGGCATTAAAATAACACAAAAAGTACTATAACCTACTCCTATTGGTCTAAATTAAAGTTTTCAAGTGTTTACGTACAGGATGAGGATGCTTTCCAGGTTGGAAAAATTACACAGAATTTGGAAAGGCTACTTTAAATAATAAAGAATTACTCGCACAGACTGTTGTTAAAAAATAAATTCTGGAATTTTTCTGTAGGAAGATAATGTTTCATTGCTCAGCTGAACTATTTAATTAATCTAATAAAATAAACAAGGAAAGTTTGGGTTGTCATGAAGATTAATAAGTAAGGGCCAGGCTGACCAGCGAGGGGCCCTCAAGGGGCCAAGGCAACTGGCAAGAACCCTGCCATCGTGCACCCCGAAGTTGGACCGTACTCCTTAACTTCGTACTATTGACACATTGTGTATGCTCTATATTCCCACAAGGCTCAGCGGCCGTCTGATAGCCAACGGAAGGTCTTATCAAAGACTGTGGCAGACGCTGCAGAGCACGGACTTCCGGAGCACGGCCATGCCTCCACCGAGTTGGAGTGTTGCAATCTACACTGATAGGTAGTGCTAGCAGTCGCGCACACTACGAGTGATTACCGATTTTTCACAACCCAGTCGAACCGTGCAAACGGATTACTTACTGGGTGACTAGGTCCCTCCCACACCCTGTTACCTCGAAGGGTCAGGGTATTGGAGTGGCATAGTCATCCACAGTCACCTCTGGGGGTTGAACCCGGGACTTCAGTGTTGGCAGCGAACTGCCTTGACCACTACACCACTGAGGCTGACACATGAGGATTAGTATTACTTAATGAAAAATAAAGTTATTTTAGAACACTTGCAATGCATTTTTCCAAAATAATTTCCAAACTTTTGATCTTCAGAAACATAAAAAAAAAAAAAAAAAAAAAAAAAAAAAAAAAAAAAAANAAAAAAAAAAAAAAAAAAAAAAAAAAAAAAAAAAAAAAAAAAAAAAAAAAACTCTATGACATAGGTAATAACTGTTCCGACAGATCAATGACCAAGCCATGCTAAAACTGAATAATAGCTTCTTACTGAGAACATTTTATCAACCCTTGGAAGTTGGTAAGTCATGCTCATGGAGGTAAAAAGCTTTTGATATGAATAAAACATTGAGGCTCAATAAAATTAAATCTGTGAGGAGAAAAAGGTTGTGATTTCTTGGGATTCGGACGACCCTAATAGAGAATTTTGGAGGGGGATAAAAATGTACAGATAGCAACCAAGGTAGACCTCCGTGAATAGGTCTTTATTTTTTTTCGAAGTAATTGAGCATGAGGCTGACCGAAAGGTTTGCAAGACTATGAGTACAAAATGCTCACTTGTATTCCAACTGTTCCATCCTTTGTGATGAGCTATTTGGTGAGGTTTGTGTGCCATTTCGTAGGTCAGTGGTTTTGTCCTGTAACGAGTGGGGAAGTGTCTTCCAGCTTGTTTTCTGTAATCCACACAAGAGGTCTGCACACTTCTGATCCCTGCGTCACTCCATCTCAAGAGCCTAGTTGCTTTTAAAACCTGGAACGTTAAGAAAGACTTTAACATTTAATTCTGAAGGTAAGTATAAGTGCTTCTTTTCTTTAACCATACAATAAAAAGCAAGATAAAAAAAANAAAAAAAAAAAAAAAAAAAAAAAAAAAAAAAAAAAAAAAAAAAAAAAAATTAATAAACCGGTATAATATCAATTATTCAAATATGATTTATTAAGCATTTGTTTTATTTTACTAGATACATGTTTGTTTTTCCCTATTGAACTAAGAAGAAAGATAGTTTTTGAGATTGAGCTTTCCTGTTCTTCTTTTTATTTTTGGGGGGAAACTAAATAACTATGCTTTTAGAAATTTTCTGTTTTTTTTTTCTTTTTTTTTTTTCAATTAAGTATAAGATAGGTATAGGATTAACTTTGAATTGATTTGTCAAATTTAGACTGGGATCACAGTTCCAACATTTTCAAAAATAGAAACATTTAGTTTACAAAAAAAAAAAAATTCAACTCCATTTTCTTTTTGGTAAATAGGTTAAGGGCAGCTATCAAACATATAGTTCCTGACTGTGCGGTTAACAGTGCACGTATGCTCAGAGAATGTTCAGTCAGCAGTGGGGCTTTGCCGACTGTCTGTTGAGCTCGCGAATGTCATTGATTGTACAGTCGGACTGTCCGTGAGATAGCTAGGTAGTAGGGTCTCACAGTTGCAGATTCATTCAGTTGCACAAACACAACCATACCATAGCAAATTTAAATATTTATTTTCGGTCCAGGACCTTGCATCCACCTGCAATACGTCCGCTCAGCAGTATGGGTCCACCAATCCACCCTTTAACTTTGCCGAAGGATGCCATGCGCAAGAAGATTTCCAAAACATCCTTAGATTTATATAATCTACAAGGGTTGATACCATTCCACATTATAATCAAAATGATGGAGGGGTTGAATACCAAATTTTGGCTACTTATGGCAAATTCTTATTTACATCACACTCTGCGGTCCATAAGTAGGTTCAGTTCTCATCTTTACAAGGTGGAGAAATGGTGCTGGGTCCACACTATTTTGCGGGAAAATTAAAGCCATGAAATTCCAAAAATTGCAATTGGAGTAAACAATTTTGAAGTGATTCGTCAAGCTCAAGTGACGCGGTCCAACTGGCATGCAATATATCGCATCCATTAGGTCAAAAATCTCTGCAGATTTTGAATTTTTAGCATAAAAGTACAATAGCCCCTGCGCATGAGCCTAGAGAATCATTCTGATCCCAAATATTGGCAAAATTGAGAGAAACAAAAGCAGAATAGTGCTTGGAAAAAAACCTTGCATTCGATACAGAAATCCAACATTCCTCTGAATTTTGCCAATTTTTGAGTTTAAAATGATTCTGTAGGGGCTATCGTCTTTTTTTGTGCTATGAATTCAAAATGTGCGGAGATTTTTGACCTAATCAGTGCGATAAATTGCATGCCAGTTCAACCATGTTCCTTGAGCTTGACGAATCACCTCAACTCTAATGAGTACCAGTGCAAAACTAAGTTCTCATCTTAATTGGACGTATTTATGTTAAAAGTAACTATATGCATGGGGTTTGCGTGTCACGTAGTTCCTCTTACTGTAAAAGTGTCCTTTATGACCAATTGATTGAGAACATAAGAGAGGAGATATTCCACTATGACATTACAGATAAGTTTCAGCACTGAAATGGAGATCTTCTGCTCAAAATTTGGCTGAGAAATTGGGTGAGAACCCTTCTACCAGAATCTGGAGTGTCATTAGTTTCATATCTTCGCCAGAGTATGAAGAAAAAGAGGTTACCTATGTAATAAAAATTCAAACTTATTTAAAACTTCTACCCACCTGAGATGTAGACATCATTTTTAATTCCGAGATTTTCGTTGAAAACTGTCGGGAAAAATGTTTTATGAGCTATCACGTAGAAATTAAAGGAATCGCGAGGATACACATGAGACTGAAGTCAAACAACTTGATTCACGACTGAAAACACGGACATGGTCTCTTACTGAAAAGTAGGTTCTGAAACGAACAGCAGAGAAGTACAGGGCTAGTCTCGGTGCTACGGAAGAATATGAAAGTATTAACTGATTAACACTAAAAAAAGTTTTAACAAATTATTCACTTATTTATTTCATGGAACGTGTACGTGTAATACAAGGAGAGGTTATGTTGGTGTTTGTGTTGTGGTAGTTGTGTGGTTTCATTTTCTGTTACCAGGAGCGCTCTTTTCAACGCGAATGTAAACAAGTTGTGAAACAAGTTGAAAAATCCACTCCCATTGGTTCCCGCCAATTCAGTACCGCGCTTGGTAGGATATACAAATTGACGCGCCAATTTTCAAATAAGCGGCGAGTACTCTGGTTGCGCGCAAGGTAGGTGAAACGGAGGTATATATTCAATTCAAACGTTTAAACGCAGCTTTTTGTCCTCACAACTAGGTCCCTGGCGCGAGATTTGCATTTCAACAACTTTGCAGCCTCGGCCGGAAACAAATAAGGGTGGTTTCATGATAACTGGAATGGTTTTGTCGCCGTAACAGACATCACATTTTTCGGTCATATTTTTAGTAGAAATGATCATCACTCGCATTTTTTCGCTTTAATCTTCAAAGGGTTACGTATTATAACGCTTTCTAATAATTTATTGCTCTACTTCTCAATTAATATGATGTAAATTCCGAAAATGCTCTGCCTGTTACGCCGTAAAAAGTCAGCGTAACAGACAGCACTTTTTCGGTCATTTATATATTAAAATTGAGAAAGAGAGTTATAAATCTTTAAAAAGCGTTATAACACGTAACCCTGTGTAGATTTTATGCAAAAAAATCGAGTGATTATCATTAGTATACTAAAAATATGACCGAAAAATGTGTTGCCTCTTACGGTGACAAAACTATTACAGTTATTGTGAAACCACCCATATTACCGTACTTTTCTCAAATTATACCCCGAACCGTGCCTGACTCGGAACTCCCGTCGTAATCGTTTTGCGGTGCCCTCGTTGGTTAGGTGAATCCAACTTCATTATAGCGTCAATCGAGCTGAAATTTTTCAGGAAGATATAGCTTAAATACAAGGCTCGAACTGAATTTTTTCCAAATTTGAAAAAAGGCAATAGATTTTCGAAATTGTATCACAGCTTAGCTAGATC